TCGCGCATTCCCACTGAAGCTTCTTAAGGAACGGTGTTGTGAGTGCAAGTTCCTTGGGGTGGTGCCGTCTTGGATTCGAAGCGCGCGGGGCTTTCACTCCAGGGTGTCTCGCGAGGGCCCCTGGGCAGCCATCTAAGACGACCTGGGGTCTTGAATGCTTGGGTGGGGGCTTTGGTCCACGCTTCGCGCGCCGCCCATGGATTCTAGGATGCCTTGGAGGTGGGGCCCTTGGGCCAATATTGGCTGGCCCCCGCGGTGAGCTAAGGTGGTTCTCGCCACCTTGGTTTGGCACGGAGCGGCCTTGGTAGCCCCGCAGGGGCACGCTGGGGGCCATCTTGGGCCGTCGTTGGCAAACTTGGGCCATCTTGGGTGTAAACTTCAAGCGTTGGATGCCCCATGGGGCCATCTTGGGACACCTTCGGCGCGCTGGCGACTCGCGACCCCCCCCCCCCCCCCTTCCCCAACCCCTCCAAAGGCAAAACCTCGGGGAGGGGCGGGTGGAGGCTAGGTCACCCCCCCAAAAAAATGTCAGAGGGCTGCCGACGGTGAAAGGATCTATGTCTTCGACTGCCTACGTCCACAGGGCTAGTAGGATTGCAAAACATACTACGACCTCGTGAAGGCCTCGAAAACGACGAAGGCCAAGTACGGCATTACGGACAGCAACACGACAGAAGATGCCCACGACGAGGCCATCCTGAAATGCTACACCACCCAGCGTGAGGCGGCCATCATCGGCCTGTTGAAAAAAACATCAGAGTGACGAGGACGAGCTCCAGCGGACGATGAGGACGCAGCTGCAGCGGGCCAAGAAGGTCTCCCCAGTTGCCGTCTGGGACCGCGTCCACAATGTGATCAAGGTTTTCGCGCAGAAGGCCCTCGACTTGTCGATGTAGGCCGCAGGCGGCCCGCGGTGACAGCCGTCGCTCGGAGCACTGGCGCCGTCTGCGCCCTGACAGTGCATGCAGCAGCAGGGGAATGAGAGTAATGAGAGTGGTGCTGGAGGAAGGGATGGAGCGCTATGCCATGCGTTGCTATGCCATGCTGCGGAGCTGCGGCTGAGACCCTTGACTGCGCGACACTGGGCAATAGTATGCCGCGCTGAACGGTGCAATGCTATGCGGGGCCATGCTATGCCATGCTGTTGCATTCGCCGCGTGCCCTATCGGGGCCAATGTTGGCGGGGCGTGGGCGCCTCCGCCGCCGTTACCAAGAGACCTCTTACTACAGGGGTCGCGCAGAGAGGCTTGGGGGAGATGGGGGGGGGCGAAAGGCGCACTGCTCAGGCAGGGTGGTTTGAAAGGCCCCGCCCCCGACCACCTCGATGGGCAATGGCTTGCAAGGCTCTCTGGCCCCGCGACCCCTCGCGGGGGGCCCGACTCCTCCTCCTCTCACGGGACTTGCCTGGAGGTCGCGTCCGTGGCGCGGGCGTGGGGGGGCATTCGATCACCACTGGATTTGGCTTTATTCTCCCTTGTTCTTCCCCTCATCGCTTTCCCTTGCTCCTTTGGCTTCGCCCCCTCCGTCTTTCCACGCCTCCTTCCTTCTCTTCCCCCCTGTCGCACTACCCCCCCCCCCCTCCCCCCAGCCCCGCCCCCTTCGTCGGGGAGATAGGGGTGCGCCTCGTCGCCGCGCCTAAGCCTCCACGGATGCCCGAAATTAAAAACCTCTGCGGGTTCGCCTCGCTTTGATGGTCTGCTGGTTTCGCGGGGCCCGCGGGCGTGGCAACGCATAATGTCGAGGCCGACGGGGCCACATAGCGGTTCGGGTGGGGGGCGACGGGGGGCCGTGAAGGCGAGGGCCTTTTGGTTGACGAGATCGGCGAAACCGCCGAGCCGAAGGAACCCCATCAAAGCTTGAACGATGTGGCGGAGGAATGGAAAAACCAAGAGGAGGGGGGGGGGAGAAAACGAACACAGAGGACGAGGGATCGACAGTTGCCGGCGCGTTCGGGCAACAGAAAGGCACCCAAGAGGAAACGGAGGATGAGGAAACTGAAAGGGGGGAGGGCGATCCAGAGGGGCTTGGGTCAGATATTCGAAATCGGCGGCGGGGCACAAGTCGAGCGCGTCCCAAACATCAGGGCACTCATGGCACGGTTGGTAAGGAGCGCGCCCCCGTCTTCGGCACCCCTTTTGAAGTACTTTCTGCCATCCGTCCCCCCCTTTTGCTAGCGCGTTCGGGGGGGGGGGCTTTGGGGGGCAGGGGGGATGGGCGCGCGGCGCGGCTCCCAGGACAAACACAGCTAACAATACAGAAACCCCAATGACGAAAAGTGAGCCCTGGTCTCCAGGGCGCGTGAAGCTGAAACCCGCTATTGCCACATGGCGTTCGGTTCGACGTTTTCGCCTGGTCCGATTAGCTCTAGAGTTGCGGCAGGGCCCCCGCCACCATCACCTAGAGAATGGCCGTTCGTCTTAGCGCGCGCCCCACGCTCTGCATATCGTTTGAGGCTTCTGGGGGGTGGGGGCGCGGCCTCACTGAAACAGGGCCCCCAGCCCCTCTCTGCCCCCGCGCAAGGGGGCGGGGGCGGGGGTGCAAGCTGAGGACGGGGAGGGTCCGAGGGCGGGGCGTAGAGGATAACCTCCCCCGTTCACCCCACCCCCTCGTTCCCCTCCTCTCCCAACGATTCTATGTTTTGTTCCTGTTGCTCCTCTTCGCCCTGACCACCCCCCGTGCTCACCCAGCTGGTCCGATGCCTTTCCAAAGCGAACCTATCGCGAGCTAAGGTTTGCACCAATGTCAGGAAACGCAATCAGATCCTCATCGGCCACTCATGCTTGCAAACGCTTTGCCGACATGAAATCCCACACGCAAGGTTCTTGTGTAGCTTCGGGGAAGCGCGGCCGAACCGCGCGCCCCGACCCCCCCGTGCGATCAAGGCCCGCGTCTACGATGGCATGCCCTTTTTTTGGGCAGGGTGGCCCACAGCCAAAACGTTCGCTGCGCAGCAAGCAGTCGAGCGCAGGCTGGCGTCTCTTACCTTGCGGGCCATTGGCCCAGCTACCCAAGAAACCTCTTTGGCGCATGCATATGATGTGCCCCATTGGATTCGGGAGCCAATGAGGCTCTGATTGCGTTTCCTGACATTGGCGCAAACCTAGCTTGCGATAGGCTCGCTTTGGAAAGGCATCGGGCCAGCTACGGCGTGAAACGTAAATTTTTCGAAAAAAACAAAAAGTCGGTTCGAAAAAAAACCCAAAAAAAAAACAACGATTCAGGATTTCTACAAATCCGATGCCTTAGTGGTGATGAAAAGATCTCAATCGCAGAGCCCATGCTGGGCCAGACATGATGCGCAGATCCGGGCTCTTGTTCGGTAGCAGCTGATCGGGTGTTGCTGGAAGTGCCCCTGGCCCAAGGTGCCCCTGGGATTTCCAGGGAGGCCCCCACGGCCTCCAGAGCACCCCTTCACGAGGCCCAGAGGGCCCCGGGGGCTGCAGAGTCGATCGAAGAGCTGGGGGCGCCTTGGGCCAGGGGCACCTGTGGGAACCCCCGAATGGATGGGAGCCTGGTCTACCCCCTGAATTCCGTCTTCAGCGTCGGTTCACGTCGACTAGCGTCTGGGAGTCGACGATGTATTCCGATTTAGCGTCGGTATAGCGTTGATTACTGTCGATGTTGCGTCGAGTACAGTGGATAACCATGCCAAGAAACACCCTGCTTGCCTCCAGGGTGCCCCGGGTTTCTTTGGTTTCGACGGTTCTGCCATGGAAAGCGCGACGCTCCCACACCAAAAATCCATGGATTTCCTGGGGTCTCAGGGCTGGGTTTCTGCAGTTTCTTGCGCACTGGCCTCCACTGCAGCGTCGCTTCGCAAGAGCCGACCAGATGGTACAGTCGGGGCGATGAAGAAGGAACCCTTTTCGTTTGGGAGGGGCTCGGTGTTCCTTGATTGTTCAACAGGTTGCCCCAGGTTTTCCCGAGATCTTCCATGGAAAATCAAAGCTTAGCTTATGGGAAAAAGAGGCCTCGTTCCTTATTTAGTCCGGCGATCGCAAACATGAATTAAGGGGGCGTGGATTAGCGACGGGTCCCGTTCCCATGGGAAATCGCGGATTTCCGCCGCCGAACGAGGCGGCACCGGCCGCAGGGGGAGGGCACCTCCCCCGATCCATGGATTTGGCGACCGCGCGCCAAATCCATGGCTCGCTGATCCATGTTTGCGCGCCCCGATTTAGGGTTGGGGCGGGAGGAGCAGGAGGAGAACGGCGAGGCGGGGAGGAGGAGGAGGAGGACGAGGAGGAGGAGGAGCATGAGCAGGTGGAGCAGGAGGAAGAGGGGCAAGATCCCTAGGGCTCCTTAGGTCAACGCCCCGACTGCACGGGAGACTCCCATGGCTTTTGCCGCCGAGCGCTGGGTGGGCCGCGCGCCTGCGACGAGGCCCCGTCCGAGAGAGCCTCTGCGTCCCGAATCCGTGTGGCCTTCGCTTCCTGCTTTTTTTCGGCTGCGCTCCTTGCCTTTCGGCTTCCCAGTCGGGCGCTCTGTTGTTATGCCATGTTGTCCAGATTCCTGGCTCCTGATTCCAGATTGGTCGGGGGCGGCAAAGAGGGGGGTGATGACTAGGGGGGGGGACATCATGGCGGGGGCCTTGATATCTCCCCAGATTTCATGGCGCCTCCTTTTCTTTCATTACGTCCCTGCCCCCCCCCCGCTGGGCCGCGCACATGCCGCCGGTCATGATTTGCACCCCCCATCTTGAACACCCCCCTCTCGGCCGCTCCCTCTTGTCCAGGTTCCTGATTCCTGATTCCTGATTTCAGGAGGGAAAAAAACACAGACACAATTCATCATCGATTCCCGAGAAAAGATGGGGGAATAGGGGAAGTGGGGGGGGGGGGAGACGGACACCCAGGAAATAGGGTGAGAGATATGGGGAATCCTGCTCTTTGTGTGTGTGTATTTGTGTGTGTGTGGGTGTGTGTCCCAGGGCCCCCTCAAGCTTGGAGGAGGCTCCCAGCTCTGCGGCACGCCCGAGAGCCTGCCCCCCTCCCGACAAGGAGGGCGCCCGGCGCCGGGCCGGAGCCGGGCCCTGGCTCGCATGGCGGTCGTCGGCAGAGGTGGCCCCGGCCCAGGGTGCCCCAGCAGTGGCGAAGCGTCCTGGCTCGCCTAGAGCCCCACCAAACAATGTTCTAAGAACCTTTTGTGGTTCTCACGAAATGTTCTCAGAACATTTCTGGCGGAGTCTGTCTTGTTTTAACCGGGAGTGGACAGAACCCCCAATAGTGACACGTCGATTAGTGAATTGTCCGTTTTCGGTTCTCGAGAGGGCGCCGTGGCCGTCATTTTCCAGGCTTGCGCCCGCCAGGTTTGGGCCCGAAGTCGTTTTCACTAAACCACGTTTTACTAAAGGGGGGTCTGTCCATTCCCGAACCAAACAATGTTCTAAGAACCTTTTGTGGTTCTCACGAAATGTTCTTAGAACATTTCTGGCGGAGCCTGTCTTGTTTTGACACATCCGGTGTATGTTCTAAGAACATTGTGTTTTTGTTCTTAGAGCATTTTGGGGTTCAAAGAACACTTCGTGGTAGGGCTACAGGAATGCCGGGACGGTCGGTCCCTGCTCAATTCCAACCTCGGGGGCGGCAAAGAGGGGGGTGATGGCTAGGGTTAAGTCGGGCCTGTCCCTCTACAGGGGGAAGGTTAAAGAATAGTCTAGAAATAGTCTGGGGACGATGTTTTGACCATTTTTGGTATTTTGGTGTATTGCTTGACAATTTCTTGTGCTTCGTCCAAAATCCCCCTGTAGGGGGACAGGCCCGACTTAAGAGGGGGGTGATGGCTAGGGTGATGACTAGGTCGGGGGCGGCAAAGAGGGGGGTGAGGACTAGGGGGGGGTGGATATCATGGCGTGGGCCATGATATTTCCCCAGATCTCATGGCGCCTCTTCTTGCTTCATTACGTGCCTCGGCCCCCCCAGGGGCCGCGCACATGCCTCCGGCCATGATTTGCGCCCCCCGTCTCTTGGACGCCCCCCTCTTGGCCGCCCCCAGCTTCAAGCAGTGGCGAAGCGTGCCTATAGGCCTACCAAACAATGTTCTAAGAACGTTTTGTGGTTTCCACGAAATGCTCTCAGAACGTCTCTGGCTGGGACTGTCTTGTTTTTTTACACATCGCGTCTATGTTCTAAGAACATGTCTTTGTCATTGGAGCATGTTGGGGTTCTAAGAACATGTGGCAGGCCTATGGGAATGCCGGGACGGTCGGTCCCTGCTCAAGAGGTGGCCCAGGCCCAGGGTGCCCCAGCTCCCCCCCTTGCGCCCCTGGTCTTCAGGGCTCATTCCGATTCCGATCCCGATTCAACTTCGGACTCCGATTGGGGCTCCGATTTCTCCATGAAGGCCTACTGCACCGAGAGCGTCCCACTACTCGCAAAGTGCTTACTCGCAATCGCCCAAGAAACACATCTGCCTCGACGTAGTGGATCGTAAGTCCCCCGCGGCGAATCCGGGCCATTTGCGAATAGTTACTTTTGCGAGTAGTGGAACGCGCTCGTCAACTACTGGCCTGCCGATGTCTGCAGATTCGACTTTTCCCGACTCGGCTGTCGATTTCCGCCGATCTGATTCGTTTCGATCGCCGATCCGATTTCTCGATTCGATTCTGGGCTCTCCCTGCCTCTGTGCCTCGACTGGACAGCTTTGAGTCGAAGAAAGCATGGTACAAGCAGAAGTTCTAGGTCGCCTAGACTTCAGTCCAGCATGTCCCTCTACAGGAGGAATATTCAAAAATAGTCAAAAAAAACATATGGGGACATGCCCGACCTAATTCTAGGTTTCCTAGACGGGGCCGGAGCAGATGATGTCGGAGGATCGCGCCGCATCGCCAATGCATCGCCGATGCGGCTCGATGTGCAGTCCGATGTGTTTCACGTCGACGTCGCCGATGCAGATGCATCGCCGACGTCGACGATGCATCGGCGGTGCGGTGCGATCCTCCGACCCGTCTACCCCGACCCCATCCAGGAGGCCTCTACTCTGTGCCTCGACTTGACATCTTTGAATCGAAGAAAACATGGTGTAAGCACAAGTGCTCGGAGGTCTGCGCAGACTCCCTGGGTGCAGTCAGCCCCACAGGGTACCCCTGCGCCCTTGCCTCCTCGGTCCATCCTTGGCCACTCTCGTTGGCCGCGCCCCGCTCGCAGAGCTCAGAAAGGGGCGCCCACGGCCCCGGCACCCTGGTCGCGCCTCCTTCCGATGCGGGCCGCCCGGCCGCGCCTCCCTGGCGCTCTCCCTCGCGCGCTCTGCCGCGCCAGGGAGGGGAGCCCGGCGCAGACCCCCCCCCAAAAAAAAAACAACAACAACAAAAAAGATCCGCGTGGACTCCCGAGTGATTTCTGGCCTGTGTTGGCTTGGCATCGCTCGGACGTGTGGATGTTTCCTTCGGCGGGGACCATCGAGGAGCATCCTTGATCCTTTTTGGCGAAAAAACCACGCACGAAACCGACAAAAAGCACAGGGAAATGGACGTCCGAGCGACGGCAAGGTGTTGATGCACTCGGTCTTCCCCCATATGAGGGCCGCTGGTGCTTCCCCGCCGGCCCCCTCTGGGGCGCGTCTGGGCCGGGATCGCTCCTGCCAGCTCCCGGCGCGTGACCGAGCCCGGCCGGCCCGACCCGCGCTGGCGCTGGCCGTGGGGCTGCTGTCCGGCGTCCTGGGGGGGTGCCTGAGCGAGGGCGGGCCGCCGGTCGTGGCGTTCCTGGCGTCGCAGGGGTGGTCGAAGGGCCGCACGAAGGGCACCATCCAGTGCTTCTTCTTCTGCCTCACCTGGCACCCAGAGGAGGAGGAGGAGGAGGAGGAGGAGGAGGAGGAGGAGGAGGAGGAGGAGGAGGGACAAAGAGTGACAAGGCATTCTGTTTACGCGCAGACAGGCCCCCAGGTCGTCCCAGCTGGCCTCAGCAACCCACTCGGACTGGGCCAGGACGAGGACAAATCCGTTCCAGGGCGTTCGGAGCGCTCTCAGGGTGTTCGGGACGCTCTGAGAAGGCCGCGGCGCCCGATACATCCTCCAGAGCCTCCAGGTCTCAGAGATTCGATTCATCCTCACCCGAACTTCTCCTCTTCTTGGCCTCGCCTTAGTACTCATGCCGCTACCCGTCCCTCGTTTTCCGCTTTTTGCGCCTGCTGGGAGGCCCTCGTCGCCACCAGCCCATCCAGAAACGATGCCCATGAGAGCTGACAGGGGGAGAGAGGAATAGACACGCATAGTCAAACAGCGAGAGAGGCCGGCCTGGACGGCGTGTTGAGGCCTGGGAAGGCCATCGACAACAAAAAGGCGAGAAGGCCAAATTCATTGATTTTCTTTAGGTTGTTGGAGGATTTTGGCTTCTTGGCGGCCTCCTGGGGAGGCTCTGTGGCCATCTCGAGCTGTCTTGGGACCTCTTGGAGCATCTTTGGAGCCATCTTGAGCCAGCTTGGGCTATTTTGAGCCATTTGGGAGTCATTTTGGGCTCTCTGAGGCCGCTCGGGGGCCTCTTGGGTGCCTCTCGGGTGCCTCTTGGAGGCCTCTTGGGCCTTTTCGGAGCGCTCATGGAGCTCTCCTGGGGGCCTATTCGGAGTCCTGGAGGGCCTCTAGGTGCCATCTTCAAGGCGGTCGGTCAAAAGACGGGGGGTCCTCGAGGGGTGTAAAATATTTGCCCTCCCACTGGCCGAAAAAGGACCCTCTGACACATCGGTCCCCCTGCCAAAAAAGCAGGGAGTGGAGGGGGAGGGTTCCCCTCCCCGAAGGGAAGATGGATGAAGGAAAAGGATATCACCCTCAGACCACCTGTCGCCCACAGGCCTGGTGGGACTGTGGTCAGAACGCGCCCCGCGAGACGTCCAGGGAGTACGGTAGGTTCGCGTCGTGTCGACTCGTCGCGACCCCGCCGCGGGCGTTCAAGGTTGAATGCCGCCAGTGGCCCAGAATCGTCCTAATATGGAACGATATGGCAATCGATAAGCCGCCGATCGTTCAAGGCTGAACGATCAACGCGATGTCAGAAACCATCGCTGGGGTCGTCACGACACAAACCCGCCGTAGGCGTATCGGTGCCTTGAAGTTTCCCCAGGTACACGCTGGCGGTGCAGGCCTCCGTGGGCATCCCCGAAGGACAAAGACGGCGGCATGCACACAAGCTGACAGAAGGATTGCAAAAAAAACCTTCGTTCGAAGGATTGCAAAAAAAACCTTCGTTCAAGGGGTTTTTTGCAATCCTTCGTTCAAGGGTTTTTTTGCAATCCTTCGTACAAGCTGACAGAGGTCCGCGCGTGAACTTCATGGATCGGCGCTGAGGCCCCCCACGCGGCGCCGCCCTTGGCCCGCTCCGCGCACCCCGGCTGCGGGGATCCAGCGCCGACCCGAAGACTCTGCGCAGAGTTCGGAAAGTTCGTTCAGGCGATGGCGAACACGGATCAAGGGGGCGTGAATCAGCGACGGGTCCCGTTTCCACTGGAAGTCGCGGATTTCCGCCGCCGAGCGAGGCGAAGCCCGCCGCATCTTGGGGAGGGCACCTGCCCCGACCCATGGATTTGGGCACCGCGCGCCAGATCCATGGATCGCTGATCCATACCTGCGCGCCCCCGATTTATGTCTGCGCCGGCGTTTCTCCTTCTGCATCCTCCACGTGCGTCACCTCTACTACGTCGCCGTGGGCATGCCCTCGGTCGCGCTGGGGGCGGGCGCCGGGGCGCTGGTGAGCCGGCGCCTGAACACGCGGGTGTTCTTCGGCCTGGTGATGGTTTTCATGCTCGCCCTCGGCGGCCTCTTCGTTGCCAAGTCTGTGTGCCAGCTGGTGCCCCCCGCCCTAGGGTCAGACCTGCCATCGCTGCGGGCGGGCGCGCACGACGGCACGCCGAAAGGGTAGTTGGCCCCCCACTGGGCGTCGGGCCTGTCGCGCCCCAGCCGCACCCCGTCTCCCCCGGCTCCTGCTTCGCGCTCCCACTGCTCCTCGCGGGTCAAGGGTCATTTTTTTTTGCGCGCGCTCGGCCCCTGGTTTGGGACCTCCGTGGGATGAGGGATCCTGCCCTTCCTCGCCACCATCCTCCAGCTTCTCTTCCTCCTTCTGCTTCTCCTCTTCCTCCTCCTCCTGCTTCTCCATCTCCTCCTCTTCACAGTGCTCGTCCTCTTCCTGCTCTTCATGCTTCTCCTCCTCCTCTTCCTCCTCCTCCTCTGTATGCCACCTCCTCCTCCTCCTGTTCCTCGTCCTGCTTTCTCGGCGGGTCCCTTCGAACTCTTCGTGCTTTGCATTGCTGTCGTTCCATTGGCCCCCTTCTGTCGATCGCTCGTGGCCTCCTTGGTCCCGCCGGCCACCCCCTGCCATCTGCCCCCTTCTGCTGGATAAGGGTCTTTGGGTTAAGGTCGATGCCACCTCCGACCCCTCCCTCTCCTCCTCCTCCTCCTCCTCCTCCTCCCTCCTCCTCCTCCTCCTCCTCCTCCTCCTCCTCCTCCTCCTCCTCCTTCTCCTTCTCCTACTCCTCTTTTCCCTTCCCCTGTCATCCTGCTCCTCCTCCCCCTCCTCCTCCTCCTTCTCCTCTGTTTCCCTTCCCCCTCTCTCACCCAAGTATGAGGAGGCGTGCCCGAGATATCACCACGAGATGCAGACATAACAGGAGGCGGGCCCTTGTGCGCCACCCCTAATGCACCAGGAGCGTCTGGCGTGTCTATGTCGTCCGATGGGTTTCACCTTCCAACGGGTCCGAACACGAAAGAACAACAGGGTCATTCGGAGGGGCGCAGGCAAAATGTCTCTTGCGCGCGCAAACACGCAAACACGCACACACACACACACACACACTGCTCCGGCGGGATGGGAGCAGGGGACACGCTGTATGCGATGCGAGGGAGAAGGAGGAGGAGGAGGAGGAGGAGCCCCGGCGCGACGGGGGGAGAGGAAGCCCATACACACACACACACACACACACACACACACACACACACACACACACACACACGCACACGCACGCACGCACGCACGCACGCACGCACACACACGCACACACACAACCACACTGCAAGCGCCCGCAGGCATCATACGCTTGGCGAGGACGAGAGACGAGAGATGTGTTCTAAATGGTGGTTGATTCGCCTTGAAAGACGAAGCGGAGACCACACGGTTACAGTTTCCCCAGATGGAGGCAGTTTGGGCGGCATATTGGGAGGCATTTGGGGGTGGCTCGTGGAAGCTTCTTGGGGCCTCTTGGGGGCCCTCTTGGGGGCCTCTTGTGGCCTCCTGCGGCCCCCTCTGGGCGGGGAGCTCGACATGTCTGCTCCGGCGCCTCATCTGGGCCCCCTAGCCTGGGGAGGTCTTTAGGAATTCCCCCCCCTTTTTCCCCGGCGGGGAATAACTCGCCCTTCATCTTCCTTCTGTTATTCCTGCTCCTCCTCCTTTTCCTCCTCCCCCCACCCTCCTCAACCTCCTACTCCTCCTCCTCCTCCTCCTCCTGATCCTGCTCCTCGTCCTCCTCCTCATCGTACTGCTTTTCGTCTTTCTCTTTCCTTCCATAACATCCCCTCCTCCTCCTTCTCCTCCTTGCCCTCCTTTTCCGTGTCCTCCTTTCTCCCTCTCTTCCTTCTTGTCCTCTCCTCCGTTTCCCGTTCCCCCTCATCGCGACGACAGAGGAATAGTTTACTTCGAATGGTCGTCGGGCGAGAAATTGTGGTTGGGTTGTTTGTCCCTACCTCTCTGCCACATGGGCTACCCCACTCGCGGGAGAAATGTTGAGCACAATCGTAAGATAAGTGTGATACACATCTCTATAGTAACTATTCAGGTGCTGGTTGCTTGACTGTTGATAATGGTTTTAGTTATATTAGCGTTACTTTGATGAAGCACATCAAGCATTGAGCGTACCTAGCCGTCGTGTCATAACAGTAGTACACCATGAAATAGTGACAATAGTAGTCGTAACAGTAGGTGTGGTCGCGAATTATTCGTAGCCGTGGTCGCATCGTGGTCGTAGTCGCAATCGTAGTCGTAGTCGTTATCGTCGTCGTCGTCGTGATTGTGCGGCGAGCGCCGCGGATTCATAATCAGGTTCCACCATTCATGGGACCCCCGTCCGTCAATGTGGGCCCCGAATGATTAGTTCCAAAACTATCGGGGGATCCAGATTATTGGAGCCGTCTTTGGGGCCTCTTTGGCCGTCTTGGGCACCTCTTGGGCCGTCGTCGTGCCTTCTTGGTCCATTTTGGGGGCCCTCGTGGAGGCCTCTTGGACAGTCTTAGGACGATCTTGGGGGCCTATAGAGCCGTCTGGGAGCGTCGGGAAGCCGAAAAGGCGAGAACGCCAAACACCTTCAAACACCCAAGGACAATCCATAATGTTGGCCTCTTGGGGCCCTCAGGGGAGGCCTTTGGGCGTCTGGGAGGCCTCTTGGGCCGTCTGGGGGCCATCTTGACGTCTTGGAGCGGTCGTTCGGCGACCCTCTTGGACCATCTTTGGGGCATCTTGAGGCCCTCTTGGCCCGAGACCCCCTCGGGCCCGAACAGTTCTCGCGGGAAGATGCGACGGTGCCCAGGGGAACCGTTCCAAGCCCAAGGAGAGTTGAGAATTTGAGGTCCAGGCCCCAAGAACCTTGAGGATCGACGGCTGAGGTCCGGGGGATTGGGCAAAGGCAATGAGGACACGCCCACTCCGTGCCCAGCGGCACAGTGGCAAATTATTCGCGCCATGCACCTTGGCCCTTGAAGTGTGGCATGCAGGCGGAAATGGCAGGAAGGTCACACAGAAAAGTTAGCCATACTTCTTCGTTGTCTTTTTCCGACATCGTCGGAGGTGGGGGGGCGAGATCGCAGTGGCACGGAGAGCCCCCCACTGGGAAATCGGTTCCGATTTCGTGTTCGTGTCGTGCGTGCGGGCGAGGCGAAGCTGCGTGGGCGCGCGAGAGGAATGACCCCGCCGTGGCTAGGGCGATTCGGATGCACTGGACCGCCCATCCGCCCCCAGTGGGCGCGCGCGCGGTGACCCGGGGTTTCCCGCCGTGATATCCTTTGGTGTTCCGTTGGTGTCCCGTCGGTGTTCCGTCGGCGGTGGGCGGGCGGTGGCCGGGGGTGTCCCGCCTTGGTATCGATAGTGAAGTCGATTGCGGGATCGATATTAAGATCGCTAGAATGGGATGGATCGTGAGATCAAAAGTGCGATCGGCAGTGAGGTTGACTGTGACGTTTAGTTGTGAGATTGACAGCGGGGACGATAGTGACATTACATCCCAGCGCAACATCGTCATCACGCGTGGTCGCTTGCTCGAGGGCGCGTCTCCAGCATCATCATCACGCGCATCGCAGTTGCCAGCAGTTGGTTCTTTCCCCGTATTCTCAACTTCCTTATCCCACGAAGGGTGGTCGTATAGGTCAGTCTGAACATGTAAGTCACTATCTTTCCCTCGTGTTTCGTCCTCTTCCTCATTCTCGCCATACCCTGCGAATTGTTCCCCATCCTCCCCAGCTCCTTTTGTGGAGGTTCCTCCTTGGAGAACCTCTTCGGGGTTTCACGGAAGTGCGAAAGTTTCAAGAGCTTGGGAAGCCTCCTCGGCGCCTTTAGGGGCCTTTGGGGGGTTCCTCTGGCCCCCCTGCTTCCAAACGCGATCTCCCTGAACGACGGGGTCGCGATTTGGAGGAATGCTGCGGGGGTCGTCTCGGGGCCATCTTGGGCCTTCAAGGAGCGCTCTTTGGGCGCTCTTTGGGGCCCTGGTAGGCCGTTTTAGGATTCTTGGATTGCCTGGAAGACAATATCGGTAGTTGTGGAGCGCTTTTCGGGCCTCCTGGGCGGTTCCTGACGCCCGAAAGACAGCAGAAGAATTGACCAGTCCCCGAACCCCAAATCATACAAAACCATGGGAAACCAATAATAATGTCAGCTTGTGATTGACAAAAGCCACCCCCCTTCGGGGCTGATGAATCTACCCCGCGAGGTGCGAAACATTTCTTTGAATCACGCGCACCAGGGTGTCGTCGCTGGCGCCGCCGAGAGGATCGTCTACCCCCCTGCATGACAGCCTCAAAACGTTTGCCTCTTTCGTATAGAAGTTGTTATAGGGATCGTGCACATCCGAGGCGAATGCTTGTTCCACCGCTCAGGCGTCGTTGTCGCCTTCGTCGTCGTCGTTATCGTCGTCGTCGTCGCCGTCGTTTTCTGCGTCGTCCGAGTCGTCGTCGTCCGAGTCGTCGTCGTCGTCGTCGTCGTCGTCGTCGTCGTCGTCGTCGTCGACTACAGCGGGCCTGCGCAGCACCCGCCCCCCCTATAGCGTCATAGCGTCGTCGTCGTCGGTCGTCGTCGACTACAGCGGGCCTTCGCAGCACCCCCCCCCATAGGGCATCAACAGTGCGTCGTCGTCGTCGTCGGCCGCCGTCTCCGTCTGCCGTCCTTTGTCCTTTGTCCTCGTCCTCGTCCCGTCGTCGTCGTCGTCCTCGTCCTCGTCGTCGTCGTCGTCGTCGTCGTCGTCATCGGCGTCCTCGTTGGCGTCGTCGTCGTTTTCTCCTGCTTCGTCGTCTTTGTCGTCGTCGTCGTCTTCATGTCGTCGTCGCCCTCATCGTCGTCGACTACAGCGGGCCTACGCAGCACACCCCCCCACCCATAGGGCATCAACAGTGCTTCGTCGCCGTCGCCGTCGCCGTCTGCCGTCCGTCGTCCTCCTCGTCCTCATCCCGTCGTCATCGTCTTCGTGTCGTCGTCGTCGACGACTACAGAAACCACGACAGAGAGGGGAGGAGGAGTGCCCGCCTTGCTCGGGTCGGACGAAAGGCTGGGGAACGAAAGGGGGGATTGCGAAGCCTGCTGCGCGCAGGCAGGGCGGGAGACGGCGGCGACGACGTCGCCAAGGGAGGGGGGGGGACTACCCGCCTTGCTCGGGTCGGACGAAGGGCTGGGGAAGGAAAAGGGGGGTTGCAAAGCTTGCTGCGCGCAGCTGGTTTCGATCGCCCCGCCGAAGGGCCAGTCCTGCATGGCCGCTTTCGGCGCCAGGAGGCGCTTGGAACATCGGCGACACGAGCTGTTTGGCAAATCCCCCCTTTCCTGCGCCCCACTTTCGTCCAGCC